TTTCCTGTGTTTCTGAAATCCAGAAGTCATTTTTACTATCTTTTACTATTGTTCTTCATGCCAATCTTTTTTCCTAAATTATCTAAAAGTTGAACAGAATATGATGGACAAATATATACTCTATTTAAAAAATCCATGATCTCTAAAATCGTAATATAATCCTCCACTATAGGGAACCCGTAAAACTTTTCCTCTTTTGACAAAATCAAGAGTATGGCCATGTTTACTTTCAGATTCAAGCCTCACAACAAGATTTGCAGGTCAGTAAAGTCAGATGAGTTTGGAAAAAACAGAAATGTGTCTGACTTTGCACAACGAACGCTTGGCCTCCCCTTTCTGAGTTTCCTTTCCTTAACAACAAACTCCGACTTTTAGTGGGTCCCCTCTTTCTAGCCTGTCTGGTAGGCACTCACCCCGTGATGGTCGGATTTTAAAAGGGTGGTTATTTTAAACAAGAACAGAACCCATCACTGGTGTGACAAATTATTTTGAATATCACACCACTAAGGTCAGTAGGAAAGGCCACCTGCCAGGGAGAGCCTAAGGACAGTTTTCAAAATCTCCGAAGCAGAGAAGTAGCAGTCCGTGAGAACTGACAGGCAAGCTCAAAGTTAGCAGAAGAAAAAAGATGAACTGTTTTTATGCATCTTAATGACACTGGAAATTGTGTGACAACAGATAGTAGCTGGATATTCTAAACTAAGATTAAGAGAAAAAAAATAATTAGCTAACAAGTACTAATCACAAACATATGGAAGAAAATGTGAATTTAATAAGAATTTAAAAGAATATTTTACTACTAATGCATCCAATAAACACTATAGGAGTTTTTTTTTTTTTTTTGCAGTTTTTGGCTGGGGCCAGACTTGAACCCACCACCTCCGGTGTGTGGGGCCGGCCCTATTCCTTTGAGCCACAGGCGCCGCTCCACTATAGAAGCTTTTCCAAGTGCAGCTCTTCTGCTGTCAGGTGGATTCACAAGGGGAAATGTAATCAACCCTTTTCTCAGTGAATCTCATAAGAGCTGAAAGTTAGTCTAACGGCCCACCGGCACAATAAACTTACTCCTAACCTAAATTACCTCCTGTTCTTCCAAATACATTTGATAATCATTCCTTTGTTTTTCACATAAAACTGTAAGATTCTTTGTGAAACATAGGA